TGTCCTCCATTTATATTCAAGCATTTTCTAATTCTCACTTCTACATTTGACGTTGCTTTTCCTAACTCTTCTGGGTCTAATTCTTGAAAAGCAGCCTGGACACGGTTTCGTAGTTCGTCTTTTGAACGCAGTGGAGTTGTGTTAGTGTACACTTAATTTTTTATAGTCCCCCATAAATAAAAATCCAAAGGCGACAGATCTGGAGATCTTGCAGGCCATGACCACAGACCCAAACGACGAAACCATCTGTCTTCAAACATTTGGTATAGCTCTCTACTTACAGCTTCAGTACAGTGAGCTGGTGCTCCGTCTAGCTGATACCAGCATTCTACAGCTTCATTTAACGGTAAATTGTCTACGAAATCATCAACTACTGTTCGTAATATTTCTAAATATTTTTGACTAGTCAATGCCTCATCATAAATGTAATAAGCCAGGGTGTTGTCTTTTATTAATGCAAATACGTTAAAACTAAATTTTACTTGAAAATTCTGTTCTTTGGTTAAGTGTGGATTTTCATCACCCCAGAAGTGATTAGCTCTAGTATTGAAAATGCCTTCTCTGGAAAATTTGGCTTCATCAGTCCAAATTACTTTTTTCTTAAAATTTTCATCTTCTTGAATTTTTACCAAGAACATTTCACAGAATTCTACTCTCGCAGCGCCATCTTGAGGGTGCAGATGCTGCACTTTTGTAAATTTGTAATCATGCCATTTGTACTTCTTTAAAATACGATGCACCGACGAGACTGAAACACCCAGATTATCTTGAGCGCTTTGAATTGATGCTTGAGGATAAGCGCGGAAGTACGCCAAATCATTAATTTCTGTTTCTTTGTTACTGGTTATAGGATGAGCTTTATTTCTTACGGCATTTTGTCTTCCACGTGCCTCAAAATTACCGTAAATTCGCCGAAATATTTTTGGTGTGATTGCACGCACATTTGGATATTTTGTGTTAAAAGTTCTGCAAGTTCTCGTTACAATTTTACTGCACTCTCCAAATATTGCAAAGAGGTTGATGAGAAGGTCAATATTTGTGTATTCTTGATTCATTTTTACAAAACACTTAATTAGTTAACAAATTATTTAAAAAACTATAAATTGACGCCATTAAATTTTAAACAATGAGAGATTACGTGGTAACCATAGATACCGTCAACTCACCCGTCACAGGTTTCTTGATACAAAATAATATTTAAAATTTTAGAAATTGCTAAATATCTCTAAAATTATTAACTTTAGGTATAGGGAATAGTAACATCAATCGAAATATTTTTTAATTTACTATGTGATTATGTAAAAACATACCGGGTGTTACATTTAAAATAAAAAAGTTATTAACCTTTCAAGTTAGCCTAATTTGCCCTGGGTTTTCTTAGGTAATTTGTTAAAAAATGTTAAAGAATTAACATGTAATCTTTTAAACAATGTTTTAGGATTCCAAAAATTCCACCCCCATATTCGCAAACCTAATAACAAAAAAGTTATAGGCTATTTTTGATTGCCGAGCATTTGTCAAATTTTAACGAAAAAAATTAATAACTCGAAAACTATTCACTTTAGGTATAGGACATGATATAGTAATTTTACTCAGAATTTTATGTAGAACTTAAAAATGAAAAAATATATGGGGTGTTCTATTTGAAATAACAAAGTTGATGTCACTTCCGGTTAAACCGGAAGTGGAATTTTGTTCAAAATATTTTAGAAAAATAGTTTTAAATGGATTATAAACGCTTTTAAAATTTCAAATCGATATCTTTTTCCGTTCCCCAGAAACTTCTAATGGTCCACGAATGTGAAACACCCTGTATAGGGTGATCCATTGAAAAAAAATAAACTTTTTGTTTCTCCCTGTATATTGATCAATTTGCCATTTTTTTAATACGTGTAAAAAAGTATTTTTTAGTACCTACATAACCACACTTTTAAATTTTTTGGGACACTTAAAATAAAAAAGTTAAAGGGGGCGACATTATAGGGGATCACCCTGTACAACAAATTATGATGGTAACTTAAAATATCTACGAAAAGAAATTTGATTAAAATGTGTATTAATGCTCGGATTAATGTGTATGTTTACATCTAAAATGTTTTTTTTTTAATTTCCAGAATTAACGAACTATACAAACCTCGATACAAACTATACATTTTATTGCATAAATGCATAGGATCTTTTTTGTAGGAAATTGTATTTCCTATACAAGTTTTTTTTACCTATAACTTTTTGCGAACTAATATGTTTTATTGTGACTCTTTTGTATTTGACGGGCTCCAAGGCTTGTCCGTCAAACACACCAGATAAAGTAAGTTATTACTTTAGGTCTTTATAAAATTATATACCTACTATTTTTATTAATAACACAGTACGACAAAATTTGATTTTTGGTCCCTCCCATGAAAAATTTCTACAGATTCTAAAAATAGAGTTAAAAAAATGATACCCGTGTCTCGGCGTTTTTTCACATCACGTCATAATTTTTTTTTAAGGGCCATCCAATAAAATGTTATTCACACTATTCGCGACATAATTTAATAGACTCGATAACAGCTGGACTGCATAGTTAAAAAAATATATATTTACTAAATGGATAGGTAACCATTATAGATGCATTTTAAAATTATTTTAATCTTATACAGAGTTTTGCACATTTATATATATATCAAACGGTTTATTTTTAAACCAAGTAACAAAATGTTTCAATTTTAAGCCAATCAAAATGCTTTAAAGTCGGGTAATTAAAATTTTTATTTATTCAATTTTTTGTAAAAATTGAGCTTTGTTGAATTAACATTTTTAAAAAAAATTAAAAGATATTTAAATGAATTGATTTAAGTCTTAAAGCAAATGTACCTAAAACATATTTAATTTAAGTAAAAAAAGTATTTAAGTATACGAAGTCAATTGAAACAGCAAAAAAACAAAAAATTTACACATCTGCGGCATTTATACATAAAAAGCATTGTTTTCAAAACAATCTTTATACGAGGGTAATACTTTTTTTTTAAATGTTAAATAAAAACATTATTGCAGCGATAAATCGATAAATTTTTCATATTAATTTTGATTGTTGAGTTAACCATCCATTTGAAATCAAAGTAAAAATGCAGTGTCCGAATCGAAATAATTTTTGTTATGTATGTGGTTTATTTGCACCTCCAAGCCATATGCGAAATATTACAAAAAGTGTAGCAACAGCTTTTGAAGACTATTTTTTGGTGACGTATATACCAAACTTATGGTATGTACCAGAGGTTTTATGCGAATATTGTTACCGTTGTTTGAATGGATTGCAAGATAAAACACACAGTATGAAATATGTTGTACCAACAATTTGGCTTCGACCCGTCGCGACGTACCGAACACGCATCTGACCAATGTTATTTCTGCATGTCAAAATTAAAAAGTTTTGGATTTCGGTACAATACTAGAGAGAAAATTGATTACGCCGATGTAGAATCCGGCATTCTCGCAAGAGTGCGATCTGAAGATTATCCAACTGCTCCTTCAGAAAACATATGTGAGGATAAAAGTAAAAGATCTTTAACACCCAGTACAACCATTTTTTCCGAGATGGAATCTGAATTTATTCCCTGTAGTTCGGGTTATAAAGTACATTTTATAACACAGGACATGAAAGTACATATGTCACTGAAAATACATTTTCTCCATGCTCATTTGGACTATTTTCCACCAAATTTGGGCGATTTTAGTGACGAACATGGCGAACGTTTTCACCAAGACATTTTAACAATTGAAAAACGCTTCAAGGGAAAAGACGTCAGGCATTTGCTGGGTGAATATTGCTGGTCAATTGTTCGAGATTCTGAAGCAATATACAGCCTGTTCAGAATAAAACCGAATATATCGCCTCCCTCCAAGGCGCGTCACAGTTGCTTGTGTGATAAACGACATGACGAAAGGTCGAGCAGGTAAGGACTTAAAAAATTAAATGATAATAATGCAAAAAATCTCATTAGCGATGCAGTCTATTTGCTTAGCTACTGTGTCGCGCGTTGGAGGGAGGCGAGGCCACGCCCCATATATATATAGATATATTCGGTTTTAGTCTGAACGAGCTGTATAATCGTCAAACTAAACGACCAAGATTTTATTCCAACATGTATTGAATATAAGATAAATACAAAAATGTGTTTCATTAAAAAAAAATAAAAAAAATTATTTAAAAAAAATCAAAATATAAACTTTTTTTATATTTGTTTTTTGTATTGTGTAAAAACATACAATATTTACAAAAAAATATATTTTTAACCGAGTAAAAAATGTACAATCTGTATAAGCATAAATAATAGGAATGACGGCTTAAAATTTTTTTATGACGTGATCTCGTGAAACTGTGAGACACGGGTACGTTTTTTTTACCTCTATTTTCAAAATCTGCTAAAATTTTTCATGGGAGGGAAATTGTGTTGTACTGTGTAATATGATAACGCTTACAGGTCGAAATATAGGAAGTCTAGTAGAATTGCTTTAAGTACTCTCAAAGAGCATTAAATCATTTACAAATCACACCTATGTAAGTTGTAGTAGAGTAAGATGCCGCAAAGTTGTAGGAAATAAAGAAAACAAATTTGTTTTTGTAATTTTAAATCAAAATTAAAGTACTACTCCTAAGATTGAGATCTGAATATATACATCAATAAAAAATGCTCGTTCTAAACGACGCTTACCCTAATATATTATTAGTATTATATTATATTATAATATATTATTATTATATAATAAATATATAAATATGTTTTACGATGCCCAATGTTAATAAATAACAAAATATACTAGTCTAGTATTAAGTATTTCTTTTAAACTGATTAAAAAACACGGACTAAACGTCATATTTATGAAATTAAAGTATTTTAGCTTTAGTTACAATATTTAAACTCTAATGCAAAAAATTGCATATTTTGGTTCAAAGAAACCCCTGTTTACGCTAGACATTCTTTATTTTGAGGAAAATAAGGAATTTTGATTGATTCCAGGTGTAAGAGCTTTCAAGTTGCCATTGTCTGAAAACGTTTGTTCCGGTCGATGGCTCGTTCACGTGGAAGTCGATTCGGCCGAGTTTTCCAGCCCAATCGAGGTCGCTCCAGGTGCGGGAAATGGACTTTCAGATGTTGCTGTCGCCGAGGAACACTACGTGGAACTGCGTTTCGGAAGGGAGATGCGGAGACGCTATAAACCCGGACTGCCGTTCACTGGAAAGGTACGAATATTATTTGCGCTCCATTCGCTCCGAATGCTTTTTTCCAGGCTCACTGACCCGTTTTAAGTTTTCGCAATTTTCTATACACAAATTTTAACGTTCAACTTTACCCTTTTATGTTTCCTTTTGTGCTTTCTTTTTTGTTTATGCGCCTTGTTTAAACACCTTACAAATATACACACTCGTAAAAATATTATTTGAAATAACAATAAACGTAGAGTTTTTACTTTAAAATTAACAACAATAAAAAAACGCAATACAAAAATATATAGAATAGATAAATTAAAATGTGGAATTGGACTAACCTAAATAATTTATTTATGATTGATCATAATTTTAAAATAGTACATTAATTTTCAAACAGAACGACAAAGGAGCGTGTTTTAAAATGGACGAGTGCTAGAAAATGTTTTATGACATGACTTCTTTGTAGTATTGTTTCTATTTGGTAAAATTTAAAAAATAATAAATAAAAAAAATAGAATTATAAATTATATTTGTGTATTGTTGCCATGAAGAAAATACGAAACGCAACGTACTGTGGATTGTGGTACTGTGCTCATTATGGTACACAAATAGAGTAAATTTTTTTTTAAAGTATGGACGTATTAACAGTGGACTCGTTACGCCTGCTCTTGTGTATTTAATCAAATTGTTGTCATTGTCATAACGTCGAAACGACAAGTTTGTTCTGTGTGTTTTCGGAACTCAAAATACGATGGTATACCAACTATAGTTTGTTCTGCGTTGGGTTGTAGAAGTTTTACAACCTTATTAATGATCACTTTTGCGGTCTTTTATTAAAAATTATCTCATTTAAAATTAAATAACGCTATTTTTTGGTTTAGTTTTCAACTTCGTCCTAGAGTGGACGCGTAATCCAAGATATGTCTATAATTTAAATACATTAAATTAAAATTAAAAAAAAATTTAGTTAGTAAGTAAGCATTAAAATTTAAAAACACTGCGATATACGTACTTCTATTGAGATAGAAATGAGATATTATCTCAAAATGGTTTCCAGATTTATTTTCTGAAAGTTTATAAAATCAACATAACTTTTTTTAGAACATTATTAGAAATTTAATTTCGAAACTCACGGCGACAATGTTTAAACAAAATTTTTCACTTATCATTATGTTCAAATCAAAAATTTCAACTGGCTCATAAATAAAATCATTTGAATTTTTTTCTCTCAAACCAAATAACATTTAAAAGTTGGAAGTTTTTGTGGTATGCTGTAATTTTTTAAAAACAGGTGTTTTAAAATTTATATTTGTTAAATTGCAATTTTTTAAATCAAAATTTCCCACAAGAAACACAAATTGATTTTTGCACGCAAATATCTTAACAAAAAAAATTAATAAATAACTAACTCCTCGAAAAATTTAACACAACAAATTTTATAATTAATTTTTTTTTTTAAACTAAAAACAACCCTCCTTAAAATTTTGGCATTTTTGTTCTGTTTTTAATTAACTAACCCTTTTTGTTTGAAAATAGTCATTTAAATCAACATAAAAATAAACCTTTAACAATGATAAATACTGAGTTAAACTCCTAAACCCTTAAACCCTTGATCATATTAATTTTTTAAACATAATAAGCTGGCCAAATAGCTGTAAAGGCCTTTAACTCTGAACACAGACAATCTGCTATGTCTTCAGATTTAAGAAGAAGAAGAAGAAGAAACAAGTCGACGAGTGTATTTACTTTATTGTGACTAAAAATAAAAAAATGGCCTCCAATTTTTTTCACACCAATGTGTCGCGACGAGAACAATCGATACAGGTCCTGTCGATTTGTCTGTTGAAAGTCCACCAAAAAAAGAAAAAACAAGAGGCTTTATACCCTTAAGTTTAGAGGACTAGCAGCTCCGAACGCTCATGTAAGGGCCACCTTGAATTAACCCAATAAAATAAAGAAAATACAAAAAATCAATTTCTTTTTTAAAACTGATTTACAATTTAATCTATAACCGAGACTGTTACCGCATTTTTAAGCGAAAAGTGCATTTGAACGTATTTGGGGATATTTTGCACAGTTGAAGGCTTCAAGCATCATTTGCATTTTGAATTTGCTATGCTGTACTTCGCAGCGTTAAGCGTTTAAAGACAAATTCATTTCTGTTATTCTATATCAAAGATTTAAGACAAGTCGTTGTATTTTGGGATGTAAATAGCACGAATGAAACCTATTATCTTTTAACAGTAAATTATTAATGAAGGTAATCTAATATGTAAATCATTATTTGTTTTGATTTTAACCAGATCGTGTTTAATTATTTCCAAAATGTATTATTCTAGGTTGAAGTAAACCTAAGATAAAAAATAAAATGTGGATGTTTAGGGCCAGCTTCAAAATGGCGTATACTTCCATAAGCGAGCTATAGATCGCTTATGAATCATTTTTGACCACAAGTTCTTAGGAACTTTTTTTTATATTTTATGCTGTAAAATTACCACTTTACATTTTTGTATAAGTACAAAGGTTTATTAAATATTATTATTATTAATATTATATATTAAAATAATGGTTAAGGAAAGGCAATAATAATTATAATTATTATTATAAATTATTATTTTTAAAATATAGCGTTATATTTTTATGTTGATTATAAAGGTTTTATAATCGGACCCTTCGGATAAATTTTATATTTATGAAATATTACATATATAATTAATACAGACTTGTTAAGTTGATGTTATTTGAATTATTTTATGTTGCGTTAAGTCCTTAGAAATTTATTTTACTTACTTTTTTGTCCCCCGTTTATAGCAATATTTAGGCTTAGTAAAAAATGTCTTAACTTCATACGTACCCCCCATCATAAGTCGAAGCTTCTATCGCTTGTTTGTATTTATATTTGCTTTTTCTATTTTTATTTTAAAGAAGTTCAAGCTTTTAAGTAAGACTGGTAACGCAGTTGTTACATTTTTCGACCGCTTCATGTATAAATTGACATAAATATGGTGATATAGGTAATTAAAAACATCGTTGCAAATGTAAGTATATTATAAATTAAACTTTTATCACTCTGTATCGACAATAAATAATAAAAAAAATATTAATTTAAATTTTAATTACAAAAAAAATAATCACTGCTCAAGTTAGCCATTGAAAAGAATTTTGACCCTTAAATCTAATAATAAGCCAAATAATACCATTCGAAAATTATTATTATTTAACAATAAATGTACTGTCTGTCCACTCTAAGTTGGCTGAACTAAGGAATTTTGTAGTTTAGATATTAAAGAATTGTCGTACTGTGTGCTTTTAAAACAGATTTTATATTATAAATAATACTAGTACATATTATATACTAGTATTATTTATAATATAAAATCTGTTTTAAAAGCACACAGTACGACAATTCATTAATATCTAAACAACAAAATTCCTTAGTTCAGCCAACTTAGAGTGGACAGACAGTACCTACATGTTTATTTTTCTTAAAAATGCATACATGTACTTTATAAGCATGATTTGGCTGGAAAATTGTGCAGACGTAATTTATGCAATTGGCACGGGTTCGTGCTTCTTTGCATTTTACAATCTTGCAAAAGGTTGCTTCAGCAAGTCTGATGTAAATATTTTTCTTACTAGTCAATTTTGCACAGCGCTCGTCTAATAAAGGGTGTAGTTACCAAGAAGTGCTCAAAATCTAAATTGGTAATATTTTAACATGTCAAATTGACGGTCTTTATATTTCGTACATCTATTTTTATAATTTTCTTGAAATTTAATAAATATTTTATAGGATAGTATGTGGGTAAAAATATTAAAATTTAAATAATAATTTTTATATTAGGGTATTATATTAGGGTAAAATAACAATATTAGGGTAAAATAACAATTTTGTTAAATTTTGCTAAAATTATAACTAAATCGAAACAGTTATTTTTTTAAATTATACAGAATTATTTTATTCCCAGGCTGTTAACTATTATTGTTGGGTCGCTATTATACAGTGTAAATAAAATAATTCTGTTTAATTATTATATTAAATATACAGGGTAAAAAGCAATTTTATAGTTAAAATTTAAAACGTATTAGTTTTAAATAATATCCATAAAATTAAAAAATATAGTTACCGTTTATCCCAAAAGTACAGTACATTATAAATAAAACTAACATTATCATTTTTGTCGCCTTCAATGCAAACCTCAGAGGTTTGAATCCAAAGAGGTTTAACCTCTTTGGATGCATTAGACGTAATATGCTATATTATAGCAGCGTTTATCCAAATCTTTAAAAACCTTTTGTTGCAGGTCGCTATGGTTGTACTTTTTGGTTGTTATCTTCATAGTCTACCTTCATACATAACACCTTTTCATATGCCAAATTTGGCATATGACTTAAGTCTCCTTGTGACATTTTCTTTCACAGCTTTCAAAATGTCACAGCGCATTCGCTGTTTTAGTAATTTTAGTAATGTGTAAACCTAAATAAATAAATAATTAATATTATTTTTAAAGTAATAAAAAACTTTTATGAAGAAAAATATTGCACTATTTCGTATATTTCAATGTTAAGTACATTTATCCTCTTTTAAACCCTATATTATGAATTATATCTACTCGACAATTAAATAATGCAGAAAATTAAACTAATTTTTAATTTAAAAGCTTGAAAAAATTCTTATATTATTATTATTTTTTATAAGTTTTGTAGCTACTGTATTGTAATGTTATGTTTATAAATAAATGAAAATTCAGTCAAATTACTCACAATTCTCACAACAAAAAACTCTGGCCACAGTGGTGCCAAGAAGACATTTAGTTAGCATGAAACTTTATCAAGCGAGAGAGAAAAGTGTGGTGTAGAAAGGGGTGTAGCACGTGGGCGTTAGCGCACCTATCAAAGCGGCACACAGTGGGAGGAATTTTAAAAATCGCGGACAAAATAAGGGACACATTATTTTATACTATTTTAAGGTTTATGCGGTTGTAAATTTATGGTTAAATATAAATAATGATAAAATGTTTTAATTATGTACAAAAATTCACCAAATTTTTATGCACAATTTGGAAGAGTTCGGTTTAGTCGATCTTCCATTCTTCATAAATATAAATTAATATAGATTAAGAATAAATTACACAATATAACCTAAGCTAAAAATAGAAAAGTAAACAAAAAAAATAACAATTAAGGAGCATTCAAGCAAAATCACTTATATCCATTTTTTCGATATATATTTTCTTTGTCAATGTCGCATCTTTATCTATATCGATGTTAAAATTACATTTAGAAGTTGATTTTAGAGCAAAACCGATTAAATCCACCTTTTTTTACCTAACCTAGTCGGAGGATTTACTAATAAATACGTTTTTAACTTGTAAAATAACTTTTGCTAATTAATGTAACTTTTTTTGGTTCATTTTATTTTTTAAAGTTTTATAAAGCGTTAATAATATACAAAAACACGACGCGATTGTATGTTAAGACTAACTGTCACTTGAAACTGACGTTTTAGAACTAACAGAAGGCAACTATGATGACTTATAAATAATCGACTAATATGATAAATCCATGGACATATTCCATATCCTGCTGACCGAACAGGCAAAGAAGGCAGCTAAATTTTTTTCCTTTTTAAAAAAGAAAATCTGATGAACGTTCTGGTACTAAATACTTTGCCTTTCACCTACACACACCTAAAGAAATATCTTCTGGTTTGTAAAAGATTTACCTTCGTTGAAAGGCAATGGTAAAAGGTTTAGAAAAACCTTATTTTTGGTAAAATTTTTAATTTTAGACTTTCAAATGAAAGAACAAGGATAGGGAATGTGGTAAAATATACCATAATTTCCTTTCATTAATTACGCAAAACAAAAAAGGGAGGGAAAAACTTCCAATTTTCTCTAAAAACCTGCACGAACAATGTGACTTCTTAAGCAAGTTTAAGCGGGCGTTTTAACATAAAAAAAATATTTTTTTTTAAATAATAATCTTTGGGCTTTATTTTTTTATAACTCACAATTTAAAATTTGCCATGTTGATTTTCACAAAATAAGGTTTTGTCCGCGATTTTTGACATTCCTCCCAGTGTGCGGCCACGCGTCAACGTAAACTTTTGCGCCATTATTTGGAAAGTTATTTATTTGCGGATCCGCAGTGCTGGATCCAGCAATGCTGAAAAATGCGCTGGATCCAGCTGGATTGCTGGATGAGGCATCCCTAAACACATACCTATGTTGTCGATGTATGTTGCACTACGGAATTGTAAGAGACTTTTTTTTTAATATATATACCCAAAAAACATTTTTTTCTCGTAAAAAAGTCTGCTGTATTGACAGCTTTTACGGAAATACATAAGTTTTATATAACTTTGTTAATTATACTTAAATTATTATTTGTTAATTATACTTAAATTATCGTTGTAAATATATATAAGAAAATAAATTAAACTTCTCACAAATTCCAAAGTTAAGCTAAAAATAACTTTTCATTTAACTTATAAATTAAAAAATAATTTTGTTTACTAGAAACGTTGATATGAAAATTTGTATTTTACTTTAAGCTGGGCTCTAAACTTCAGTAAATTATGTTATGGTCAAGATTTAGTTTAAGCTTTTCAAATTTAAATGCGCTAAGAATACTTTGGCATGCGAATCGGTTAACTTTCTTTGTAACTCACAGTTTTACTTAAATTTTATTTAAATGAATTTTGAAATAATTGTAAAAAACGAAAAATGTAGGTATAAAATGTATAGTAAATTATAAAACTTAACATTTTTTATTTTTAAATTCAGGTATAGTCAGTGAATTTATAAATTATAAAATTAAACTAAATAATAGTAAGAAAATGTTTACTAAAACTCCTTTATTATAAAATTTTAGATAATACCCTGTTATATCTATTTCTTGTAGGCTACACAATTATCATTTTAATATTTTTTTTAAATAAAATATAAAAATAAATAGATCCAAAAACAAATTTAAAAACATTAAATCAAGTTAGACATATAACAAATAAGTAAATTATTAAGAAAAAATTAAACTTTTATTTCGCCAAAGTTTTTTGTTTTGAGTGCGTTCCCCCAACTTCAAATACCGACACAGCTGTTTTGGGCAACTTGGTGTAGTGGAACACACCCAAAACAAAGGACTACCTGAGCTTATATTCTGTGCTAGTAAGCCAACAGAGGCGAGATGTAAGAACATCACGTGATCCACACCGTCTAACGACGTGACCCCCATTAAAATAAAATCCTATTTATCCTTCTTATCTTATTAGGTTTTATTTACCGATGTCAAATATATTTTAATTTTGCTGTCTCGATTTATGGATATGAGATATATCATAAGACTGAGAAGTGAGACTTTTTGTGCTAATCCTTAAGTTTAAATGCCGACGCATAGCGAAGGCCTACAATTGAGCGTAACACAAAAATACACTTCTCAGCATCATGGCATACAACATTTTATCTGTTAAACAATACTTTTGATTAATAATATTATAATAAATATATTTTTATACGTTTTATGTATTTTTTAACAAATAAAGTTATACCTTAAAGATAAAATGTTGTATGCCACACTACGCGTCGGTATTTAAACTTTGATCTCAGCACAGAAAGACTTATGACATAAATACACATTGTCAAGCTGCTTATGGCTTAAGTTACGTTAAGAAATTATCTGCAGTAGTTTTCGGGCTGTTTTAGTCACAGGCTGAAGTTAGCTTTAAGTTAGTTGACAGTTGTTAAATTTCATACAATCCTTAAAATAATAAAATTTAAGTTAATTTGGCTAAAATTGACAAAAACACATTTTCTTGTCTAAAGCTCCTTAATAAGAAAAATTAAAAATAAACGATTTAATATTTTAAGGGCAAAAATTAGAAGTCAAAATGGCTTAAATTGATCAGTTTGCCCTACATAGTTTATAGTTATAGTTATGCTTTACATTTTGCAGGTGGAAGCCATGAGCACGGAGAAATCGGTTCGTGTCCGCGTCAAAGTCTACGATAATACAACTGCAATTTACAGCCAGGATATTGAAATATCAAATGGAGAAGGCACCTTTGTTGTACCAGCAATACTGGCCGACAGCGACATTATAGCACTGCAGGTAACATAACAATTTAAAACAGTTTTATCTTTGTAACTTTACAGGATAGTTCACTATGGGGATTATACTTTGTCAAAAATGTTTGTATTAATATCTGTCTAATTTTTGCTTCAATGCTCTTTTATTAAAAATGCCTTACAGAAAAGTTAATTAAAAGTTTAGCATTTCTGTAAGAGGCATTTATTTTTTATAACAAGCATAAACAAACAAATTATACCTTTATTAATTTTTATAAAATTATAGTAAACTGTTTTATTCCTTTAAGCCCTGGTGGTCCCACCGTGAAACCATAATTTTAAATAATTTTTCCTTATGTCCTAATACTAGTAAATGTTGACCAAGTCATATTATTCAATAAAATATTAAAGATGATAATCCTCGGCGGCAAAAATATATCGGTTTAATCTACAGTTCTATCACAAACAACACGTAATTGATAAGATTTAATATGTTGAGATCTTGGTCCATCAGGTGTTGGAAGACCAGAAAAGGATTTTGTTCCGACCGAGCTAAAAGGTATAAGGTTAAAAATTTACGGGAATCTGTTGATTTTAACCTGTTAACTTAAGTCTCACAAAAATATTATGAAAAAAATGTATATGCCCGTTGATCAGGCGTTGGCATTAATAACACCGGTCCAATTATTTAAATTTCAATACGAACTATTTAGAAATGTCGTAAAGGATTTTGGGCATTATATTTTACCACCCTATTATAAAGTTCTTAAAGCAAAAATGAATGCTATTCAGATAAATTTAATGTCACCAAAACAAAAGCGCAGGTAAATTTGCGAAGTCTTTTGGACCATACTTCAAAACGTTTATTGGAAGCAATTCAAATTGAAGAAAATAAAAATGAATTACTTTTGATTAGTAAATGGGGGTGTGATGGTACTTCCGACCAATCCGACTATAATAAAAAATATTTGCTGCAAGAAAATCAAGAAACTTTATATGCTAGTATCTACGTCATGGTGCCTTGATAGCTGTAATTCTGAGACAATTTGGAAAAATCATTTGACCTCGTCTCCGAGATGTCGCCCTATATATTTTGAATTTACAAAAGAATCAACGGAAAAAGTTTTGGGCACATAACAAAATAACTGAAGAAATTTCCCAGTTAAAAAATACAAAAGTAACAATATCTGGAAAGAGTTACGCTGCTAAACACAAGATGCTATGATAGATGGTAAAACATCGCAAATAATCACAAAAACTCCTTCGGCTTCGACATGTTTCATATGTAAAGCCAATCCTACTGAAATAAACGATTTCAATAAAGTTGTTTACAAGCCGACTAATCGTCAGGGAAAAATTTAAGTCTATGTTTCTACATAATTATACGTGGCCTACGCTTCACACACCACTTAAAAATAATTCTATAGAATGTATATTCTATGTATACATATATATATATATATATATATATATATATATATATATATAGAGTTATTTTCAAGTTGTATGTCAAGGGTGAATTACATAAAACCTTAGAAGCATAAACTCAAATTTTTCGGTTTTTTAACATACAACCTTGTTATATTAGGGTGACGTAATGAAGACGCTATATTTTCAAAAATATATTTAAATAATAATATATAATTTTACAAACCTTAGTAATTTTAATCTATGGGTTACAGTTTTTAAATAAACTATAAACAAGTCATAGCGCTTTCCTTATAATTATGGGAATTCAAGAAAACGAAAAGACTAAAACTAAAACAGTTTTGTTGTTATTTAGTTTAGTTTCCGTAGACCCTAAGTAATTTGACATTTATCTTATTTAAAAGCTATTAAGCCCGCTCTTTTTAAATTATATATAATCTACTTGTTTATGGTTTATTTTTATGTTAATTTGAATGAATATTTAAAAAAGGTAAAAGTGTTTTTATTATAAGCTGTAATTTAGAGGAATGTAAGAATAAGCTACAGAAAAGCCTTGTTGAAAAAATAGCTGCTACTATGAACTTGATTGTGATAAATCTGTGAAACCAAAACCCGGATGTTCTTGTGGATAATAATGAACTAGCTAAAAATATTATAAAGGCAAAAATTTTAAACGACCCAAAAGACTTTTTGTGGGTTGGCGTCGTTCCATATACGAGGGATAATGCAGGCTATTATTCAAGGGGATAAGATTTGCAACTTGAGTAGCCAGACGAGAGACTCAATTCATCCGAATGAATATTACGCATAATCTCGAGTGTAATACTATACTCTATCTACTCCAATAAGTATATAATTAAATGATTTTTAAAACTAAATAAATAAAATGTAACATCTATCAAATGGTTAACCCCACTTTTTACCAATTTAAAATGTTATTATAGTCGCCTTCTTCCAATTAAAAACCCGATTGGTTCAAATCACAGTGAATATTCAAATCGGCCAATCCCTGATTCCTAACAATGTGAATAATGAGTTTATTATTTATTCACAGAAAAAATACAAAATTATGCAATATGAGTAAATAAAGTTATTTTTCAATATAAAACTCTTAAAAAAACTTTTTCCTAAATTTCAATTTACAAAGTCTACCTTCAGTTTGATCTTTCACAATTGAGACTAAACGTATATTTTACAAAATGTAATATATTTAAGCGATTCCTTTGAACAATAAGTGGTTTATTTGAAAATACAAATATAGAGTTACTTCTTTTGAAGTATTACGATATAAAACGAAAATTCGATGTTATTTCCCTGAATAGTCGTAGATGGGAATAGATATATAATATAGATATAAGATTGCGTTAATATTACGCAAAGCCCCTAATCTGTTCTTTATTTGACGTGTTTCAGGCTGAGCTTGTCTCCGTGGAAAGTAAAGAAATTGAAAGCCATTATGTTTTGGCCAGAGAACCTATTCACAAATGGAATTCCTCATCCGATTGTTATCTGCTTATTGAAGGGGTGGAACACACTTTGCAAGTAAGTCCCTTGTATATTTAGTGGATTAAGTCTTGAATTGCTCAATCAATTAAATAATAGGGATAAATATCCCCCTCATTTATAAGAAAATGTTTGTGAGTCAACTATAAATAAATAAATATATATATACAATGTATATTATACATATATATGTATTAATGGTTTTCCAGGATCTGCTCCGTGTTGTCGGTTTTTGTTTCTTAAAAGAACCGTATGTCTGACGGCGTTTCGGTACAATCTCATGTACCATCTTCAGGTCTTATGTCGCTCGGCGAGCGACAAAGTAACCAAAACGCTCTCTTAGTTACCATGGAACCCATAATAACGAAACGTCTAGTATACACTGCAAATTTTCACACAAAAGTGTGTAATTCGAGCGCAAAGTGACATTGCCGCTCTCGCGAGATAACCGCGCTCCGCTACGCGTCAAACTTTTTGCTCAGAGCGACAATATCACTTTGTTCTCTTAATATACAAATATTTTTTTTGTTAAAGTCGGAATGTGCCAAAAATTATTATATTTCAGAATATGCACAGGTTGTGCAAAATATAAATATTTTTAAAAATGAAAACGACTGTATATATAGAAATCTTGGATATGATAAAAATAAATATTTTGGTAAAACAAAAATATTTTTTTAATTCCTTTTATCGCCCAGAGCCATCTTAAATATATACAGCGCCATCTATTACAAAAATGAAAAAAATGTTTTAAACAAAATCTAACTATTTTTAGTCGAATGATCCGAATCTGCAATAAAAAATAGGGTGTTCCATTGAAAATTTTTACCCCCTGTTCCCCCTATAAGGAGAAGAGTATGAGGACCAATTTTAGTACTGATTGATTTCCCCCCTCGAATCATTTAATTTTTATATTAAACATTTTTTCGTAAAATGCATACTAACTGATATATTTCAAGTTTCAAGTTAAATGACTCATTCTGTATCGTAAATTTAACTTAAAAATTAATACCGATCATAATATACCCACAACCAGTATTTGTTAAATATTTATACATATTATAATAAACCTTGTTCATTTCATGTGTGAATCTGACAAAAGTTCAATTCAATATATGGTGGGGGCTTATTTTAATAGGGTGGGTCGAAAAATGAAAAGTTCGAAAATTAAAATGCTCTACCTCCTAAAATATGCAAACAGACTTGCTTACTTTTATAAAAGTTGCTTGAGAATTACTAAACAGCATAACCACAGAAGTACCTGGTAGAAAACAAAGTTATTGTTTTCATTACAAATTATATTTCTAGCCACAAGTTAGATTTTAAATATAGCGCCATTAAAGTAACCAATCAAATACGTTGATTTTCCACCAATTAAAATCCATGTTGGCAACAGTTGCCTGTAAACACGTAATTTAATTTTTAACCAAGTTCAGAGAGGGCGCTTCATTTGGCTCCAAACTATATACTCTTTAAGATAGTCATCTATTAGTTTGGTTTAGGGTATCAGAATTCTGAAATTTTTGCTTCCAGTCGTCTAAGGATATGTCTGATGTAATTGAAGGCCCTGTAACTTCACTGTTTTGCCAGTCAATTTGATTTATATAGTCATTAGCATCAACTTAAGTTGAGTGGGGGGATTTTGCGATGGTCGAGAGGAACACTCACCACAAAGATATTGCTGACTTGTACCCAGATCTGTACTGGTTGGGTCTTGCCTTTTCTCCCATCGAAGTATAAATCTAGATGTTTGGCGGTGGTCAAGTTATTTTGTGATTTTGTTATTTCTTGTTGTATTTTTCACTTGTCAATTATCTTGAATGAATCTTCTTGGGAAATCAAACCACAATCCTTCAAACTTCCGAGGCTATCATTGCACCTGCCTTATTTGATATCCTTACTCTGAGAACCCATTTGACGTTAAAGCGATGTGATGTAGAAGGTTCACTTGGTGTAGAAGATTCACTTAATAAAGAAGTTTCACTGTCCTTGAAATCATTAATATACTTTTTTGCATTTGCCACTGTTTATAATCTGTGGATAATCCGAGTTCTTCTTTCAATTTTCTATATCCTTTGTAATTTTTGAGTAGCAGAAATATCCATGTTATCTATAACCATTTTCTTGATGTCCTTTGCTCAAGGAGAAATTATTGTTCTGATATTGGAATCTTTATAGACTTTTCGCACTGGCACGAAAGATAAACATTAACATTTTGCAATTTCAAATAATTTTTCACGAAAATCCTGCTGAAATTGTTCAAGTCTGTTTTTGTATAACTCACTGGACTGTTTCGCTTTTGGCTGCTTCAAAAGCTTTTTATATTTTTATTATATAAACGAGCGTTGGAAAGCACGGGTATTGAAGCATATTACTGAACTTTTCACATGTTCAAATTCATGATGAAGCCACAAGTAACACTTCATCAGGTCTTCGTTCACATTACCCATAAAGTCTCGAGACTTTGTAACCTCAACTCGAGGGCTATGGCTAACGGCAGCTTTACAGTGGTGAGATGGGTCGATGGGCAAATGTTGTTTCTTAATACTTACGTGTTTTTACTAACATAAATCCAAAATTGGGCGCCAGTGTCTTATTATGGCCAGTTGTTGAAATCTAAGTAAGCCAGACACAATCTTACTAGAGATTAAGGGTGGTTATTAAAAGTCAAGTTTATAAAAAAAATAAATCAGTTATATTTGTTCACCGATGTTGAAATGATCACTTTGCATGTATTAATAAATGTTTGTAATAATAAATGTTTGATCCGTAATTTTGGTGCACCCTTATATGGCCATATATGGTTTACAAAAACCAAAGTCTGATGGACCAAATTAACTGATAAAGTATTGTTGATGATACAAAAAAAAATATACTTAAAATAACTATGATGAACGCAACTCAAAAGTACACAAACTATAAGGAGTGTAGTGTACGTGGACATTAATATTTAAAATTGGTACGACCTGTTCGTAGTTGGGGCCCTGGTAGAGTGTGTCTCCGAACGGGTTGACTTCCGATGTTGAAGTCTCCTACCATGTCAGATTATACAGGATGGCTTTTAAGTAACGTAAGAACTTGCCATTATCCAAAACAAGTTCAGGGTAAAAAACCATTCCTTTATAACAAATCTGACATAAAAAGTCTTACAAAAAACTCCAACATAAAAACCCTAAAAAAAAATATGGTATGATGCCCAAGCATCTAAAAAACTATAAACCGCCTAACTTACCCTTGTTTAAAGGAGTTTTTATAACTGTATAACGTCAGGACTGGATAAAGACCAAAAATGAGGAAATAACACAACCCTAAAATGGAGAACCGCGTGGGTAAAACATTTAATTTCAGCAACAGGTCAAAAACTCACCCAGAGCTCATCGTACCATACGAAAATTGTTTTGGTCGGAATTATACCATTAGATTGAGAGATTTACCACGTATTTTTGGAAATTTTCCATAATTTAAGCACAACTTAACTCTCATCTAATCGCTTCAACGACCAAATCGAAAAGGAAAACGTAAACCTTATTGAGTGCGTAGAAGATTATTTCAACAAAAAAAAACACAATGTTGCCTATGTTAACAAACATTTTTTAAAAAGAATTCCCACAAAGTCTACCAGAACCTAAGCCTCAAACACAAATATTCCTTTAGTAAACCCCAGTAACATACCCAAAGATCCAAATATATACCCCCCTAAACGCAATTATTTGGAAAATTCCCTTCACTGACACTAAATTGTCAATAACGGCAAACCAGCCATCAAAATGAATAGGGTAAAACACCCAGTTATTGGCACCTTAAGCAGCTTATCAGAATATTTGTAGTTTTTATGTAACTTAAAGTAAAGCAACCTAATTATCCCTTTAAATGGAAAGTCTTTAAAGATTCTTTTATAGTTTTCAAACAAAACATAACTCAAAAATAAGTTTTATAAGTAAAAAAAAAATATTTTTTTTTTTGTATGTAACTTTTCCAGTCATTGGCAGATATCTCTAGTCATTGGCATTATAACTTAACGTATTATTGGCATCAAGTCCCAGTGTTTGGCAAAAGATAAAATGCAGTAATTGACGCTTATCCTAGTCATTGGCATGTAACTGGATCCAACTATTAACCATTTTCCAAATTCTATTTTTTAATTACGAAATTTTTTTTTATAAAAGGTTTAAGTAAAATATAAATTGATTCTTTATTTTTTTGATTAGCTAAGTTATGTACAAAATAAATAAACGAAAAAACTAAGAAAATGGTTCTAAACAACTGCTCACTAAAATGATACAAAATAGGCAATTAATCCTAACAAACCAAGATAAAATATTGTTAATTTAGTTTAATTTTAAACGCCTCCAAAGCCTTGCAAACTTTGCATTTATAAAATTCTTTGTAGTTACCATGTTTTTTTAAACACTTTTCATGGTATGATTTTGTACAAGTCTGACACCGTATGCCATAATTTAACAAAGAGAAATTTTTGGTACATGAGACATGAGTCCTTTTTTGCATATCACATTATTGATAGGAAGGCCTGATTTGGTACTTGGTTCAGTTGAAGAAAAAATGTCGGTTGATTTTTGTTTATATGATTTCTTATTTTTGTATTAGCTATTTTCTTTTTCAATATTTGGTAAAAAATAATCAATCGCCAATAATTGGTACAGGTCAAATTTCAAGTAATTTAGTTATTGGCAGTAATGCCAATAATTGGTTTGCACTAAAATATGATACCCAGTAGTGGGCATATTGAAAATTCACTTTTAAAAGTAAAATAATTAAATAAAAAATTGTTAAAATTTTGTACAATGACTCTAAATATATAACAAATTGTTTAACTTTTATTAACATGCATTATTAAGGCAAAAAATAAGTATTTAAAATTTACCAATTACTACCAAAATGGCGATTTTTTGCCGCGCGAAAGGTGGGCAATTTTTCGATAACGTTTACATTAAAACATTGAGTAATGTCAAACCTGATTGACATTCAAGGGATGGTGCTGTTGCCCCTGGTTATAAAAATGTAAGTACGTATAAAACTTAATATGGAAATTTGCTTATAAAATGATTTATTTTTCCTCGTTGCCAATAACTGGGTACGTGCCAACTATTGGGTGTTTTACCCTATATTAATTATAATAATTATCATTATAACTACATACAACCAACCTCACACGGAAGTGTTTGTTTTGCATACTATCAAATTACTGTTTTTGAATAAAATTAAAAGAAATGGCTTAAAAAGAGTTTTAAATACCGGCAATGCTATTCATGTGTCAGTAAAAGGAATTCCAATCAAACCAATAGATTTTCTTGGAAAGAGGCATTTACACAACTAAACAAATTTCCTTTTTAACAATAGTTAAACTTAAAATAAATCAATTAAATGGTTCACATCTAAACCGTTCTAGATGTAAAAAAAACTAATAAAATTAAATAAATGTGTAACTGTCAAAATGACGGTTACAACTTTCTGAAATCGGTATTTGTATTACCAATATCAATGGCTGTAAGCATAAGAGCCCACTTAATAGACACTGTGTTTGGTGCCCCCCGAGATCTCGGGGGGCACCAAACACAGTGTCTTATGCAGCCATTGATATTGGTAATACAAATACCGATTTCAGAAATTTTCGAGGGGTCTCAATAACGCCTCCCAACTCTTTCTATACCCTGTCAGTCGCAACTGTGTTTGAATTTCTGAATCCCGGAGACCATCAATAAAATTCATGGCAGCCATTTGTTCCAGAAACTCTTCCGGGGCTGTAGGATATGCCAAGTAAATAAGACGTCATACCTCGGCCTCCAATTCTTGTAGGCTCTCTCCAGGTTTCTGCCCTCTTGTTTTAACCTGCGCCTGGTAAAGCTGCTTCCTGTATTGATTACCATACCGTAAGTCGAACGTAGATACGAGGGTGGCGTAATCATTCTGTTGTTCTACGGGAATAGCCTGTAATAATTCCAACGCTGGGCCCCTCAGAGCTAGAATTAATGATGTGGGCATTTCTTCGTTGGCGGCGGCAGCTGCCTCAAATTGCTTTTTATACATCGTCTACGAGGTCGTTCCATCATATGTTGACCCTGTTGACCTCTTTTTTAAGCTGTTTAATCCTTTCTTCAAATTTTCCTTCAGTTCAAGTTCACAAATCTCTTTTCTACGTGATCAAATTTCTCCTCGACGTGTTCTTTTACTTCATTTACCTTCCCATCTGCTTGGACAACTTTTTCTTCGACGTGGCCATCTTTTTCCTAAATCTTCCTTAACATGTTCGATTTCTTCTTTGACAGAACCTATTTACGTCGAAACACCCTGTAGTTGCTGTCCGAAAAATTTCAACAATCTCACATTAAAATCTACAAATATACTGATACTTCCCACTTTGCCACAAGTCGTCTTATATTCTGCACATTTATACTTAAACACTAAATTACAAGGTAATTTACACTTAAATTACAAGGTAATTTAAGACTAGGTAATTAATTTTAGTATCTTACCTGCTAGAATAAATTGACAAAATATTCTATAAGGTAACAGACCTCTTAAAACAATGGTTATTTGTTTGCCCACGCGAGTGGACTTTATTTTGCCCTACCTACTCAAGCCCGTCAGATCCGCCACTGATCTATGTATATTAAATAATGCAAGTCTTGTTCTTACATTTGTTTTGTTAAATTTACTCAAAACAGCTTACATCTAAGAAAAATCGCGTTTGTCAATGGATTACATTTATCCTCATGTCGGATAAAGAATAACATATGAAACAAGAACTTTTAAAATAATGCAGAAACTTTATTCTTGTTTGAGATATGATTTTAAAAGCCTTGCACAGGCATATTTTAAACCTAAACTCATATAAATAAAATAAGGTAAAAAGTTAAACTTTTTTAAATTTCGTGAAATATTAGAAAATGCCACGTCTTGCCGAGTCGTAAACTAAACTTTTTTGCGGCCTTTTGAAAGTATAAATCTGGGCTGTTAACTTTTCCAACAAGATTAATTATTTATAAAATAAATCAAATTTTAGGTGGAAAAAAGTTAAAAATAACAGAATCGAATAAATATAACTTGCGGATTTATTTGGCAGAATGTTTGGTGAGTCAATATTTTTAAGCAATGGCCTTATAAATTTTTGGAGCTACACAAAATTACAAGTTTACAGCAACAATCCCACGACTCTATATATGTTCCCAAAGCCAACATTCGGCACATAATTGTGTAACAGTTCGGCTACCATTAAAAAGGTTTACCTCTCAAACTTCGATAAAATAAACCGTTTCCGAGATTTTCGAGATTACAATAATTATTATATCGCATTATTTAAAAGGATTAAAAGGTATATGATAACAAATTTTATTTTTTAATTGAAAAAACTAAAAAGTGCATTCCATGAGCCTCGGGACTTTTTGCCCTGACAATCACATTAACAAAAATAATTATTGTAGTTTTTTCAATTAAAAAATTTGTTATTTATATACCTTTTAGTCCTTTAATGCGATATAACAATTATTGTAATCTCAAATATATCGGAAACTGTTTATTTTATAGAAGTTTGAGAGGTACACCTTTTTAATAGTAGCCGAACTAAGTAATCGAAAAATTGTATCAAATGGTATAAAAACCTAACCTTAAAGTTCGTATGGGACAATAAGCTTAAGCAACCCCTGTTTCTACGACACTGTGTTCACTCAAACAATTGTAATTATGTATGTTTTGCTAGTAAGTGACTGATCGCAAAATATCACCTTTCCAAGTCTACCATAGTAGAAGTTATATTAAAAAAACTCATATGATAAGTAACACTTTATCACATTGTATCTTTTAAACATACGTACTTGGGAAAAATATGTATTTAGATTTTCGTTTTATATTGACTTGCTTAATCTGCTCCTAAATTTATGCCACTAAGTTTAAAGACACGGTGTATATTAGGGTGATTCAAAAAAAACTTTTTTGTTTTTTTTTCTCGGAACCACCCTCAAGAGTTTCGTATAGATATAAAAATGAGTCTGTGAAGAGATGAGCTCTTAATTTCAAAATTAAGATGCTCCGCAACGCACTTTTCGATTTTCCATAAGAATAACATATGAAAAATTATTTTTGTTTCTTCTGATTTTTGTAACTAACGAACGATTGGTCGTAGGTATTGTAAAGTTCTTGACAGATTTTATAGAGAATTAAACTCTCTTCAAAAAAGGTTTCCCATAATTTTTTGATAAATTTGATCCTTCTAAAGTAATTTAAGGTCAAAGTTCAAAATATACGATATTTTTGGGTTTTTTTAACTTTTTTGGCGAGTCTACCCGACTTAAATAAAATTTTTGGAATATTTTTATGAACGCTCTACAAAAAAGGTCTGGAGTCATTTTTAGTTAAGTTTACTTGGTTAAAAGTTATTCAAGGTTAAAGTGAAATTAACCGTCAATATAGCCGTTTTCTCGAAAAAAACTCGTAGATTTTTTAGTTCAAAGGGCTAAAAACAAATCGAAATATTTTTTTTTGAGCTCTGGAAATTTCTATTATGATTTTTGATGTTTCAGCCTGAAGAGGACGCGCACGTGACCATTCTTTCGACTTGTCCCTGCGAACGTGACTTGCATTACGTCATAACAACCGAGGGACGCGTAACTGACTGGGCGCAACGACGCTATGCGAACGACGTTCCGTCGGTGACCTCGTCGTCTTCTGGAGCAGTGTGTCGCCTCAATTTCAGGTCAGTAATACTACAAAATTTCTCGATCCTTTTCTTGTTAAAGCCCTGCCAATATAAGCATCCACAAAAGGAATATACTACTCACATTATACTCATTTGTTTGGAACTAAATAATGTTTCAGAATATATAAGGATTAAATGAATTTTAATAAAATACATTTAATTAATACGGTCATCGATTTTCAATGGAAACTTGACATATTTAAATAACACCAACATTGTTTTGATATATTTTAATAACATTCCTCACGGGCTAAAGTTGGCAATAGTGACTTTTAGGCATTTTAGTCACAAGCTAAAGTTAGCTTTATTATAAATTGCAAAAAAGTCAAGTTAAATTCGTTAGGTGTCAAATATTTAACAATTAAAATTGGGCCTAAATTCTGCTTTGTCTTTGTCGTAGATAAAGTATGCAACTCGTTTTATAAACTTTTCTAGAAACTCGTTTTTATTAAAAACTCGTACGGAAGCTTCGCTTGTGCCCAATAAAACTCGTAACTAAAATGGCGATTATTGAAAATTGATACGTAACATACTATTTTCTACAATTGGTCTATAATTTAAACGTCATTGTTGTCAATACTTACAGTGATTAAATATGCCCTATAGGGACTTAAAAATGATATAGACCAATCGGGTTAGGTTTTTTATAGCCTAGGGAGTACAAATTTATTATTTTCTTCTTTGGGCAATAAAAAAATTCGACTTTTGTTAGATATAACTAAACTCACTTTTTGGTCTACAATTTTAGATATATCTATAGATAGAGAATAATAATTATAATTATTATAATATCTGCCTAACTAAAAATAGTATATTATGTATCAAGTTTGATAAACGCCATTTTATACACGAATTTAATTTAGGCACGAGAGAGCTTGCGAGGGACTTCTTAAGTTAATGAGTGTATAGAAAAGTTTATAAACGAGGTGCATACTATAATTTTTCTACGACAAATACTTATTATTATCTTAAAATAATTTAAATAAAAAATTTGTATAAAGCGCCATCTATGAAACAACAGGGGAAACTTTCAAATGTCACATTTTTACATTTTATAAAAACATTTATAAAGGTTATAAATCGAAATGTATATTGAAAATTGATAGTTTTTCACAGTGAAAGTAAAGGAAATGTTTTATGAGGACTTTACAGTAGAGTCCGTGCCCGAATTTAAGTTATAGTTTACTGCCGGCGAAATTAAAAGGTCAGTACAATGTTCATATAAACTTTTCAAATATTGGCGTTGAGAAACTATTTAATATTTTTGTATTTTTGTATTGAGATAATAAAATAATTTTCACATTTAGTATTATTTTACAAGAAAGACACTTTATTTTAACGATTGTATGACATTTGACAACTGTCAACTAACTTAAAACTAACTTCAACCCGTGACTAAAAACCTGTTGCTAACTTCATCCCGTGACTAAAGCGCCGTAAAGCCACAACTTGTCAATGTGTATTTAAAAGGTCACGTGTTCGAAAACTGAAAAGATATTTTTCTACGACCACTATGTAAAAGTCACTTTTCATGATGGCATCTGTTTTAGAGCAGCAAAATGAATGTCTTGGAGTTTTAGGAAATAGTATTATGTTCTTTTATAACAGTTTTATTTCTTGTAAGGTACATAAACCAAAATCGTGTATACGTTTTTTATATGTATAAATATTAATAATAAATAATGGTTCCCTAGGAACAGGGTTCCATAGAGATTACATATATTTATTAAATAAGCATATATACTACTTCAGTAACTCAATCTCGAACATACTCCCCCGCAATTGCGAAGTCAATTAATACAAAAGATAAACAAGAACGCTCAGCAATAACAGGGCTAGTATTTAGAATTTATAAGATTAATCAGTACAGTAAAATTTTATTTAATATTATTAATAGGTAACTTAACTAATTTAACAATTGGACGCTGAAACTCTGAATTTGTAGTTTTAATAGTAACAGCGCGAACCAACCCATCAGCACCAGGATGAGTACTGATAATACGACCCAATTCCCACTTATTTGGAGGCAGATGTTCATTTCTTACTAAAACAAGATCGCCTTTCATTAAATAAGGTACTAAACCACTTTGAACGCGTTTGCAATTCGAAAAGATATTCTCTTTGCCATTTACGCCAAAAGTTTTCCACAACCTTATGATAAAATTGCCAGCGAGGAAGTCTGTTATCTGTTAAATCTAATACAGAAGGAGTGGGAATCGACTTAAGAGCACATCCTACCAAAAAGTGTCCTGGTGTAAGAGCATCATAACTTTCTTTGTCATCATATAACGGAGCTATAGGCCGAGAATTTAAAAGACCTTGAATTTCACTTAATAAAGTCCGAAATTCATCTGCACTAAGTGTAACATTTGCAAGTTGAGGTTTAAGATATTTTTTTACACTTTTTACTCCAGCTTCCCATAAACCTCCGAAGTGAGGAGCAGAAGGAGGCAGAAAGTGCCAAGTTATTCGATCTTGAGCAAAACTATTATGGAGTTCAGGGTCAGATTGTAACTGAGTTAAATATGATCTTAACTCTCGATCTGCTCCCTTGAAAGTAGTAGCATTATCGCTATAAAGATCACTTGGCATTCCAAATTGATTAGAAAATCTTCTAAATACATTTATAAAAGCTTTAGTAGAACAATCGTTTACATAATCTATATAAACTGCTTTAACTGAAAAGCAAACAAACACAACAACCCATACTTTATGGGATTTAGTACCACGACCAATACCATTAAGAATGGAAAATGGACCAGCGTAGTCAAGTCCAGTATGTGAGAAAATACGGGAAGGCTCCACCCTAGATTGTGGCAGATCCCCCAATAATTGACACATGGTTTTTGCATTGTGCTTTACACAGGTGGTACAATTCTTAATTATAGTTTTAGTAATAGAACGTGCATTAATAATCCAAAACTTACATCGAACCATGTATAAAGTAAGTTTAACACCAGAATGAATTAGATTCTTATGAAATTGTCTTATTATAATGCAAGAAAGTTCTCCAGGAGAAAGAATAGCTGGCATTATTGGATGCGACTTTCCTAACCTACCACCAAGTCTTAAAATACCCTTTTTATCCAAAAATGGTGCAAGTGGGAACAACTTGGATGATGGAGCTACAGTTTTTGAAGAATTTAAAGCCTTTATTTCCTCAGGAAAAGACTTTTTCTGCACATATTTAACAATTAAATCCGAAGAATTCTCTAAATCCTGAGCTGTTAAAAAATTCGAACTATAAGGTTTTTTTCTCATAACGGAAACAGCCCTTAATATTATAGAAACTACTCTAAGAATCCTTGCCCACGAAGAAATTTTGGAAATCAATACTGAAATACAATGATCTTCAGCTTGGCAGGAAATGAGACTTGCAACTTGAAATGAACGTTTGTCCAAATCAGTAAAATGTTCAAAATTCTCTTGAATAGGCCATAAATCTGGTTTTTTAGACAACCAACTAGGACCATTCCACCAAAGCAGAGATGTAACTAACTTTTGTGTATCAACACCACGAGAAGCGAGGTCTGCAGGATTTTGAGAAGTAGGAACATGTTTCCAGATGGCTTTTGGTAAAGAATCCTGTATCTGAGAAACTCTATTTGCAACAAAAACTTTCCAAGTATAAGAAGGATGTTGTAGCCAACTCAGAACAATAGAAGAATCAGTCCAACAAAATATAGGAACAGAATCGATTTTTAAAGCTGATATAATATAACAAAGTAAATCAGAAAGAAGAGTTGCAGCGCAAAGCTCTAACCGAGGAACACTAACAGTTTTAAGAGGAGCAACTCGAGTTTTTGAGATAAGTAAAGAATTTATTATCTTAGAATTATGTTCTACTCTTAAATAGACAACAGCTCCATAGGCAGCCATTGAAGCATCGCAAAACCCGTGTAGTTGACATGAGCTTTGTTTTGAATTAAATGTCCATCTTGGTATAGTAATCTCAGATGTGGAAATAAGACTATTATGGAGAATTAGCCATTGTTTTTGTATATGAGGGGGAAGAGGATCATCCCAACCAATCTTAAGAATCCAAAGACTTTGTAATAAGATTTTAGCTTTAATGGTAATAGGTGAAATCCATCCCAAAGGATCATATAGTTTAGATACAGTAGACAACAATTGACACTTTGTTGTGCAATCAGCTTCAAGTTTAACATGATATTGAAAACGATCCTTTGAGGGATTCCACTGTATTCCCAAAACACGAAGAATAGTACTATCAATAAATGGAATGTCAATAGCCAACTTATATTCTTCAGAGCCGAGATCTTGTATCAACTCTGGAACATTTGACGCCCACTTTCTCAATGGCAGGTGAGCTGACTCAGTAAGCTTAATAACTTTATCTCTTAATTTACGAGAAAACGTCATCAACATAGACGTTATCTTCTAAACATTTAGATGCATTTGGAAATCTAATTCTTTCATCTTGACAAAGCTGTTTAATAACACGATTAGCTTGAAAAGGAGAAGAACGAAGACCATAAGTGATAGTATTAAGTTCATAGATCTGAAGAGGTTCAAATTGAGAAAAACGCCATAAAATACATTGAAAATGTCTATCTTCAGGAGCAATACTGATTTGTCGAAACATTTTCTCCACATCGCTTGTAAGAACATAACGATGTTGTCTCCAGCGAGTTATAATAGCCACTATATCTTTTTGCAAAGCTACTCCAGTATGAAGACAATCATTTATTGAACAATTATTTGAAGTTTTAGCGGAGCCATTAAATACCACTCTTAACTTGGTAGTAAGACTATCCTGACGAATAACTGGATGATGAGGAAGAAAGTTTTGATCTTTAAAATGTGAATTTAATGGTCCAATAAGACTCATATGTGAAAGTGACAAATATTCTTTCATAAATGCAGAATATTGCTCAAATAAATCAGGAGTTCTATTTAATTTCTTTTCTATAGAACAGAAAGTACGAAAAGCTACTTCTTTTGAGTCACCTAGAATTGGCGCATCAGAAAGAAAA